TGACATCTCTGTAGCCAGCGCGGTGCTTTGCCACATCGGGCGCATAGTCCTCATAGACACGAAAGGGGTGCCCTTTATGTAACAGGTTGCCCCTCATTCGAGCCTCGCGCAGGATAAGATCCTTGGTCTTGAAACTGTGACAACAGATGATTACTGGGCGAGGACACTGGCCCGGTCCAGACACTGGGACAAGGGCGCGATGTGCACGGTCCAGTAGGGGATCCGAAGCCAAAACATCCGGTCCCATTGCATCCTTCAGTAGCTTGGCGAAGAAGTCGGTGGGGCGAGAGCCCACCTCCACCCCTTCTGCCAGACCCACAACGCGAAGGTTATGACGCCTGGATCTGCCCTCCAGGTCGACCACTTTCACAGAAAGCCTCTGCACATTATCCTGCAATGACGTGCATAGCTTCTCTAACTCGTCGATCCTACCAGCGTTGAATTCAGAAGCTTTCTCAAGGTCCACAATACTCTGGCCCTGCGAAGCGACCGTTCGAATGGTGCTCTCGATTTTAGTGTCCAGTTCAGCAATAGTAGCCTTAAGATCCTCCGCTATAGCAACACGTAGTTCTCCCAAAGCCCGGGTAAGTTCTGTAAGTGTCACGTTGTTACCTGTGCCTTCCGCCATGTCTGTCTCGTTGTTTGGTGGGGAGTAGGCCTCTGATGTGGATTTATTGTCCTTTGGTCGCTTATTACTAGGCATTTTCACATAGAAAGTTACAATATTGTATTAGAAAGAAAAGTTTGTTGTAACAAGTGCAATAAAGTAAGTTAGGTTAGATTATTTCGCAAAAAAGTTGCGGGAGCCTCTCACACAGAGCCGTTCACTCCAACATGCTAGCTCCGCCCCCAGCAGTGTAGATCTAAGAGCTATCTTGAAGACAGTATAATTTAGACATCTAATTCTTTGTTTTTCGAAGGAAAAAAAATGGACACTGTTAAAACAGTCCGTACACTAGAAAACAGAGTCTGCTTGAAATCCTCGCAAGTGTTTCTCTTCTCTTGATCTCATGTCATAAAGTGATAATAAGTGAACTGTGTGGGTTAACTACATCTGGTGACCTTCCTCCTGTTGAGCTGTGTGTGTGTGTGTGTGTGTGTGTGTGTGTGTGTGTGTGTGTGCACACGAGCGAGTGAGTGAGTGACAGAGAGAGGGAGAGAGAGAGAGAGAGAGAGAGAGAGAGAGAGAGAGAGAGAGAGCGAGGAGAGTACATTGAGTACATAGAGTATACACTGAGTATACAGTATATATAGGCAAGACTTATACTGCGGATTGTAGATGTGTCTAGGGGCCAGCCTCTCAGTTGGTGTATATTTAACTCCCATAAAACATTATTCATTATGATTTTAACAGTGTGTAAAAAGTTAATTTGAACGTTTGATGGATAAATAATGAGTTCTTCATGCATTTAATCTCAAACCTCACACTTGGGACACACTGGTTTAATTAACATTGTTTCCACGCCATTAGTTGTTGTACTTTTACCCCTTTTTCTCCCCAATTGGTAGTTACAGTCATGTCCCATCGCTGCAACTCCCGTACAGACTCGGGAGAGGAGAAGGTCGAGAGCCATGCATCCTCTGAAACACAACCCTGCCAAGCCACACTGCTCGCTTAACCCGGAAGCCAGCCGCACCAATGTGTCGGAGGAAACACCGTCCAGCTTGCAGGCGCCCAGCCCAACACAAGGAGTCACTAGAGCATGATGGGACAAGGAAAGCCCGGCCAAACCCTCCCCTAATCCGGACGACGCTGGGCCAATTGTGCGCCGCCGCATGGGTCTGCCGGTCACCGCCAGCTGTGACACAGCCTGGGATCGAACCCGGGTCTGTAGTGACGCCTCAAGCACTGCAATGCAGTGCCTTAGACCGCTGTGCCACATTTCCAAGTCATTTCAATTAAATTATATTGAACCAACGTGGAACAGACATTAAATTGACATCTGTGCCCAGTGGGATTGTTTCCACTTTTAATTTCCTCCCTGCCACAGATTCTAGCATAAATCTACAATGACTGCTATCTTATGTTCTCTTAATATGGGAAGCTATTGACAATAACTGGACATTTATATGAAGCACATTTATTTGCAGATACACATAGAGGGGGAAGCGACTATCAGTTCTCATATATAGCCTACCGGCATTCTCCCTTCATCTCTTCATTGACCTTTCCTACTTCTATCCCTCTATTTTTCTCTCCTTTATTTCATGATTGAGTTAGTTTCACTGTCCAAATACTATCTTTGTCAGTTGAAACCTCAACCTTTTACTGTAACTGTCAACATCTCAAACTGCCAGTCCATTATTTCCAACCAGAATTCACAATCCTTATCAAGTCTCACAGAGTCTTTATGAATGTGATCAGATCCTCAGATGACTATTCAATGGGTCTGTCAATATAGTTGCAGTCAATCAAGACCCATCTATTTATTCTAAGCTAACAATACAGAAGACAGAAAAGAGAAAATGGGCACATTCGAGCGGATCGCTTTTGTCATGTCCGTGACCATCATTGGTCACGCCTTCCAAAGTGTGTTGCGTTATGGGGATAAAAATTGCCAGACTTGCGCCTACATGACGACTGCATGACCTTTACAAAAACCATTTGATCAAAGGTCATGAAGTTTTGACTGTAGACCACTGCAAGTTTCTGCAGTTGCTCCTCACCAGCTGCAACTTGCAGCCATTGCCTGCATTATGGGAGGCTCTATTGTCAACCAATCATTAGGGTGTTTTTGTTTGACCCACGTGAATGTGACCAAAGACATGACTGAAACAGCTTTCCCACAATTCATGTGTACAGTCGATATGTACAAATGAATGCGATATTTGAGTCTCTCTCTCACCAATTGATTGTACAATGTACACACATATGTTCAGTTTGTGAGTGTGTGATATGGGGGTTGGAGACATGTTTATTTCAAATTTTTTTGTATAAACATTGGCAACACTGCCATGTTGCACTGAGGTGCATCTGTCGCAGCGGCTGCCGACTGACTGATCTACAAATCACCTTCCACTGAGTGTACAAAACATTAAGGACACCTGCTCTTTCCATGACATACTGACCAGGTGAATCCAGGTGAAAGCTATGATCCCTTATTGATGTCACTTGTTAAATCCACTTTAATCAGTGTAGATGAAGAGGAGGATTTTTAAGCCTTGAGACAATTGAGACATGGATTGTGTATATGTGCCATTCTGGGTTATTCACACTCAACAGTTTCCCTTGTGTATCAAGAATGGTCCACCACTCAAAGGACATCCAGCCAACTTGACACAACTGTGGCAAGCATTGGAGCCAACATGGGCCAGCATCCCTGTGGAACACTTTTGACACCTTGTAGAGTCCACGCCTAAACAAATTGAGGCGGGGGGGGGGGGGGGGGGGGGGATTGGTAGCTAATTATGAGGTTGGGAGATTGGAGACATGATAAAAAAGCTAACTTGATAAAATTGCTAGCTGGCTAGTATTACAAAGAAACAACAAAACATTTTTGTTGTATTTATTCACCAAAAATGAATCAAAAGGCTACATTGCTTGATCAAATTCATTTCCAAACATACCTCCTGCGAGTCTTGCCCATAACCGGCAGCTAAAACCAAATCAAACGCTGACGATACTGTTTGAACGCACTAGAGTATCTAGCGTCCTGCCTAGCATATGTTTGCTCCGTTGAGCAGGAACCACTTACTAGGAAGAATGTTCCAGACAGTGTGCCTCTTCCGCAAAATACCGATGACACATCTTTTTATAAATAATTATGTAAAAAATGTGGACTTGTTGTGTAACAAGATGGGATTCAAATGGATTTAATTGTCATTTCTTGTCAACGATCTAAGTCGAAACTGGATTTGTCATTTTTTGTCAATGATTTAAGTCAAAACTGTAACTACTTGTAGGCCACTCAGAGATATTGAATGTCATCTTGGTAAGGAACTCCAGTTTGTGTTTTAGGTTATTGTCCTGCTGAAAGGTGAATTTGTCTCCCAATGTCTGTTGGAAAGCAGTCTGAACCAGGTTTTCCTCTAGGATTTTGCCTGTGCTTAGCTCTATTTCATTTCATTTATACAAAAAAAGAATGGAACTCAGTGATGTGTTTTTATTGGATTTGCCCTCAACATAACACTTTGTATTCAAAACATAAAGTTAATTTTTTTGCAGTTTTACTTTAGTGCAAACAGGATGCATGTTTTGGAATATTTGTATTCTGTACAGGCTTCCTTCTTTTCACTCTGTCATTTAGGTTAGTACTGTATTGTGGACTAACTATATCGTTGGTGATCCATCCTCAATTTTCTCCTATCACAGCCATCAAACTCTGTAACTATCTTAATGTCACCATTGGCCTCATGGTGAAATCCCTGAGCGGTTCCTCCGGCAACTGAGTTAGGAAGGACGCCTGTATCCTTGTAGTGACTGGGTGTATTGATATACAATCCAAAGTGGAATAAATAACTTCACCATGCTCAAAGTCCATTTTTTTTTTATACCTATCTAACAATAGGTGCCCTTCTTTGCGAGGCATTGGAAAACCTCCCTGGTCTTCACATTTACATAATTTAGCAGACACTCTTATCCAGAGCAATTAGGGTTAAGTGCCTTGCTCAAAGGCAGATTTTTCACCTAGTCAGCTCGGGGATTAGAACCAGCAACCTTTCGGTTACTGGCACAACGCTCTTAACCACTAAGCTACCTGCCGCCCCTTTGTGGTAGAATCTGTGTTCAAAATGTACTGCTCGACTAAGGGACCTTACAGATAATTGTATGTGTGGGGTGCAGAGATGAGGTAGTCATTCAGAAATCATGTTAAACACCATTATTGCACACAGAGCGAGTCCTCAAATATAATTCCACTTTGACATTATGGGGCATTGTGTGCAGGCCAGTGACACAAAATCTCAATTCAATCCATTCCATTTAAAATCCATGTGAATACTTTCTGAAGGCACTGTATATCAACATAGTCCACAGCAGTTTTCATACTGTTTAATTTTCAATGGAGAACGTGAGATTGTCCAACCTACTGGAGTTCCAGAGTGTACCAGTAGGGGGTATCAGTTACAAAGCAGCATTCAGTGAGCAGCTCCATGTCTCCGTTATCGTTCCCCTCTGTGTCTGTCTGGAGGTTTATGTACAGCAAGTCAATCAGACTCTATCACTGTGGTGCACTTTCGGTGGAGGGACCAAACTGAGCGTTGGCAGTAAGTATTCAGTTCTAGAGCTTGACCTCTGATATCAAAATCCCAATTAACGTTCTTAACTATATTGCAACACCCTTAAATAGAAAGTAGAAATGTATATTTATTTTTGGAGAATTTGTGTTGCATTTATTTTCCTTAGAAGTAAATTGAGTTAAATTAAAATGCTGATTCAAGTTATAATATATCAAACAAGGAGCTTATACAGCGTGTATTAATTTGGAACAGGGTTATTGTTGAAATCAGAGTGGTTTAGCTAAATGTAGCTTTATAAAGAGCGAAAGCAGTGTCTCTATAGTGTCAGAGGTTTTTGTACGGCCGCTAAATGAGATTGTATTACTGTGGTACACTTTTGGTGGAGGCACTAGACTGGATGTTGGAAGTAAGTTTACCTACCTCTAATTACTAATTAAAGAAAATGTTCTGACCTCGCATACAGATGCATTGATGATCATGTGAGAAAAGAAACTAAGATTTAAATTTAAAAAAATACTATGCATGATTATGTTTTTGGTAAAATAATTATTCTCTTCATAAGCCTTACCATTTGTGTGAAAAGCTGAATATAACGTTTGGTTAGACCTCAAATTTTAAGCTATTATTTTTGGTTAAGAGACCCTGTCTCATTGATCATAGCTCTATTCATTTTATCTTGTCTTTTGTCTTTTAAATGTATATAATTGTTGTAAGATGGTTATACTCAACTTAAATTTACTCCTTCAGTATTCAACTGCAAAGTATTGCTTAGTTTTGCTATATATTTCCTATTTGCTGTTTTGCTAACTTATTTGATCTCATTTGCTATTTTATTTGCTATTTGCTATCGATTGAAAAGTTTTGCTATCTTGCGAAGTCCTGCTGCCATGCTGTTCATATGAATACACGTTTGGTTTCAACTTGATAGAATGTCTCGTAAATTACACTATAACTTAATTCATTTTATTTCCATGAATCAAAACTTTTAAATGTTTTTAGTGTGTCTTTTAAATGAAATGTATATTATTTTTTAAATTGTTACAGTCAACTGGAATTTACTTCCTCAGCATAGGCTTATTTTCAACAGATTTTAAATGAATTCATAATTTAAGAATAGGTCGTACAATCTGTGGAATGTTCTTTAAAATAATAATAATAAATAATGAAATACAGTTTGACTCCTAGGATTTGATTCCATTACAATAAGGGAGAAGTATGCTGAAATATTTCACATTTTAAATAGTTAAATTTGGAAGATAGTTGAGTGTACTTTCAGTCATCTCATGTAGTTATAATATTTAGTAGCTGAAAGAGTGACAGAAAGACTGATAAACTGTCTGTTTGAGGAACAGAAAACTACTGATAGACAAAGCCTTCATTTACAGCTAGGATGTAAAACTGATGCATCATTATTGTCATATCAGTCTGGTGATTGATTGATAGCTCGCCTCTCCCTAACATCCCACCTGTCTTTTAGGTGATGTTAGTCCCACCTTGACAGTCCTGCCCCCCTCCAGCGTTGAGCTGGAGCAGGGCAAGGCCACTCTCATGTGCCTGGCCAACAAGGGCTTCCCCTCAGACTGGAAGCTGAGCTGGAAGGTGGACGGTAGCAGCAGCAACACCTGGGAGGTGACTGGGAGCCCCGGGGTCCTGGAGAAGGAAGGCCACTACAGCTGGAGCAGCACCCTGACCCTTCCTGTCGACCAGTGGAGGAAGGTGGGCTCTGTGACCTGTGAGGCCACCCAGGGCTCCCAGTCTCCTCTCTCTGAGACACTGAGGAGAGACCAGTGTTCTGATTAATGAGTCCCCCCCCCCCTCTCTGACTCCACTGTTTTTACTCTGCACCTCTCCTTCTTACTGTTCCAGCAATACTAGCACACTTGTGCTGCACTGGACCCTGTGTGGGAATCCTTCCTCCAGCTGGAGCGTTTAGCATAGTGGAACAAACAGAATATATGTCTGATTCTGATGTCAAATAGATCTGCTTGGCTTTCATATCACTTGTTCTGCACCTAATTGCTGTAATGCTGTTGGTTCTGACATGTTGAGATAATAAAGACGGTCAATCTTTTAAATTGTTTGCCTGGATATCATTATTTAATGAGTTTTACCATTAGACATTGAGATCTTCATGATTTGTTTAGATTTCATAAGGAATGGAAAGCTCTGCCATGGAAAATGATTTGACTAATACATGTCAGTTAATTAACCTCTCTCAATGAATGCTTGGATGATTGGGGCACATTTGGTACAAGTCAAAAGGAGATCTACAATGATACTAATACTGAAGCCATGTGATCTAAACCTACTGGTCTTCATGATGTTACTAATACTGAAGCAATGTGCTCTAAACTCACTGGAACTCTCTGGGGACAGGTAAACATCTGGCCACGGTGCTGCTCTATTCTGGGAGTGTTGCGGTAACCCTGCCCATGCAAATATTACTTTCAATCACACAACAGCTCACAATCTCCCAGACTCAAATCCTCTGGGCCTGAGGCAGCTGTGTGTGTCTGAGTAGGGCTGACTAGGGCTGGGGAACCAAACTTCATGCTAGACTTTGCATAACGTTCAAATTGGGGACTTCACTCTCAGGTCTTTATATGGCTACGTAAACTACATTTATTTGTGGCAGATATACTGTATCATAATGATATCAATCTAGTACTTATTGAATCCAATTTATATGACTGTATTCACTCTTTCAAGGTTGGAAGGGGTACACTGTAGAAGTTGAGTAGGGCATGAATAGTTGGGTTCGGACAGGGTCAACTTTCATGCTATTGTGTACTGAAACAGGTTCTTCTTACAATATGAAGATAAATCAAACCTATTCTGAATTTTGTTCAACACGTCCTTAAAAAGAAAGCATTTTCTACAGCTCTGTATCCTTAGTGGTCCCAGTATGTTTACTAAGATGACAATTTTTGCTGAATATATTGAGATATGTACAGTATAATAGTCTATAGATAAGCCTAACCAATTACATTGTCGCATTGTAGTGTCATATTTTGATGAATTGGTGTTTAGAATACTTTAGAATACGGGAGACTATGTAGCTCTGCAGCTGTTGAGTCAGAGCAGTTCCTCTTTAGCTGAGGGAGGTTTTTGTACGACGCTCTAACACTGTGTGAACGGAGAGCTGTAACCCTGCTGACAGTAGTAATCTCCTGCATCTTCAGCCTGGACTCCACTGATGGTCAGAGTGTAATGAGTATAAGAACGACCAGATCCACTCCCAGTAAAACGACCTGGAATCCCAGACTGACGGGTTGTAGCAGCATAAACCAGGAGTTTAGGAGCTTCTCCAGGTTTCTGCAGGTACCAGTGGAGATTATTACTGGTGCTTGAACTGGCTGTACAGCTGATAGAGAAAGTATCTCCTGGGCTAACAGACTGAGATGTAGGAGACTGAGTCAGAATTATATCTGCTGATGATTCTGAAAAAAATTAAAAGTGAAGAAAGGCTGATTAATAAGGTTGTCACAACAAATAGACATTGCTAATCTTCCAAAGCCTATCATGAAACATATCAGGCAACACCAGATGATTTGTTTTTCTTTTTATCTTCAATATTCACAAATTAAGGTTAAAACACATCATAAATTAAAGTTGGTCAAAGTGTCTCTCACCCTGAACAAGGAGCCCCAGTGTCCCCAGCATTATAATCAGGGACATCATCATTGTGCTGTGTGTTAGTTGCTCTGAAAGGAGTGAACAGTCACTGATCAACACTTGGGTTTTAAAAGTATGTGGAGCAATGACGCAGGACAGCTATGCAAAGCTTTCATATTTTCCGCAAAAACACGCACCGTGCACATGCACACACACAGATAACCCCAGAAACCCTAGACCCACTGCAATTTGCATACCGCCCCAACAGATCCACAGATGACGCAATCTCTATTGCACTCCACACTGCCCTTTCCCACCTGGACAAAAAGGAACACCTACGTGAGAATAGTATTCATTGACATTCAGGATTCAATACCATATTGCCCTCAAAGCTCATCACTAAACTAAGGACCCTGGGACTAAACACCTCCCTCTGCAACTGGATCCTGAACTTCCTGACGGGCCACCCCCAGGTGGTACGGATAGGTAACAACACATCTGCCACGCTGATCCTCAACACGGGGGCCCCTCAGGGGTGCGTGCTCAGTCCCCTCCTGTACTTCCTGTTCACCCATGACCGCATGGCCAAGCACGACTCCAATACCATCATTAAGTTTGCCAATGACACAACAGTGGTAGGCCTGATCACCGATAACGATGAAACAGCCTATAGGGAGGAGGTCAGAGACCTGGCCGTGTGGTGCCAGGATAACAACCTCTCCCTCAACGTGATCAAGACAAAGGAGATGATCGTGGACTACAGGAAAAGGAGGGCCGAGCACGCCCCCATTCTCATCGACGGGGCTGTGGTGGAGCAGGTTGAGAGCTTCAAATTCTTTGGTGTCCACATCACCAACAAACTGTCATGGTCCAAACACACCAAGACAATCATGAAGAGGGCACAACAACTCCTATTCCCCCTAAGGAGACTGAAAAGATTTGGCATGGATCCTCAGACCCTCAAAAAGTTCTACAGCTGCACCATCGAGAGCATCCTGACTGGCCTCCGACAGCAAGGCACTACAGACGGTAGTGCGTACGGCCCAGTACATCACTGGAGCCAACCTTCCTGCCATCCAGGACCTCTATACCAGGCGGTGTCAGAGGAAGGCCCTAAAAATTGCCAAAGATTCCAGCAACCCTAGTCATAGACTGTTCTCTCTGCTACCGCACGGCAAGTGGTACCGGTGCGCCAAGTCTAGTCCAAAAGGCTTCTTAACAGCTTCTACCCCCAAGCCATAAGGCTCCTGAACAGCTAACCAAATGGCTACCCAGACTATTTGCATTGATCTATGGACATGCTTGTACTTCCATCTAGTGGCAACATAACGGCAAAAGAACATCAAACATCCCACACACTGGTTGACTCAACGTTGTTTCCACGTCATTTCTATGAAGTTATGTTGAACCAACGTGGAATAGACGTTGAATTGAGTCTGTGCCCACTGGAATGATTGCACTTAAAATGTCCTCCCTGCCACAGATTCAAGCATAAATCTACCATGACTGCTGTCTTATGTTATCTTAATTTGGGAAGCTATTGACAATAACTGGACATTTGTATAAAGCACATTTATTTGCAGATACACATAGAGGGGGAAGCGACTATCAGTTCTCATATATAGCCTACCGGCATTCTCCCTTCATCTCTTCATTGACCTCTCCTTCTTATATCCTTCTATTTTTCTCTCCTTTATTTCATGATATAGTTAGTTTCACTGTCCAAATACTATCTTTGTCAGTTGAAACCTCAACCTTTTCCTGTAACTGTCAACATCTCAAACAGCGAGTCCATTATTTCCAACCAGAATTCACAATCCTTATCGAGTCTCACTGAGTCTGTGTGAAGGCGATCAGATCCTCAGATGACTATACAATGTGGATGGGTGGGTCTGTCAATACTAGTCGAAGTCAATCTAGACTCATCTATTCGTGAAATGTCAATAGAAAACTAAATGAAATACAGCTAGTTTGCAGACTTTCCAGCTTCAGTTTGAAGTGATTGTGTTAGATGTGTTGTTGGCTAGCTCCTCTGAACAGCAGTGTCCTGACTAGAGAGCACATTTTGTATGCCAGGAGAAATCGTGCATCATTAGCTCAATGTTATGGATGTATCCAAATAAATGTAAGTAGAAAACAGCTTAAACAAACGCAAATGCAGCTACTTTGTTGTTATTTTGGTTGCACAGTTTGACGTGACTGTAAGTTAGCCGTAGTTGGCTAGCTAGCAAGCAAGGGATAAGAACGTTAACAACCTTAGATTTGTGTCGGGATATGTTGGTAACCCGTTGTCTAAAAGTGATAATGCCTTCGAAGTCGGTGTTTGGAGGACATATTAACACGGTTTACCAGCCCTTGACTTTGCCTCATGCCTAACTACACCCGTACCAATATATCCTCCAAACACCGGCTTCTCTGGCATTATCAATTAAATAATGCAAGCTCTAGAATGCCCTTCAAGCCAATCAGAAATTAGTATTCAACAATGCCATGGTATAAATTTGATTTAATTGTCATTTTTTGTGCACAATCTACACAAAATACTATGTAATGTCAAAATGGAAGAAGAATTAAAAAATGTCTAAAACATTTATGAACATAAAAAAAAAGGAATATATCTTCATTACATTCAGTAAGTATTCACAAACCTGAGTCAATACATGTTCGAATGACCTTTGGCAGTGATTACAGCTGTGAGTCTTTCTGGGTAAGTCTCTAAGATCTTTGCAAACCTGGATTTTACATTATTTGCACATTATTCTATAAAAACTTCTTCAAGCTCTGTCAAGTTGGTTGTTGATCATTGCTAGACAGCCATTTTCATGTCTTGCCACAGATTTTCAAGACGATTTAAGTCAAAACAATTAATTTTCTCCTTTCCCCCTTCTGATAACCAGGTGGCGAATCGCATCTCTGCATGTCTGGCAGACATATCAGTGTGGATGTTGGATCACCACCTCAAGCTGAACCTCGGCAAGACGGAGCTGCTCTTTCTCCCGGGGAAGGACTGCCCGCTCCATGATCTCGCCATCATGGTTGACAACTCCATTGTGTCCTCCTCCCAGAGTGCAAAGAACCTTGGCGTGACCCTGGACAACACCCTGTCATTCTCCGCTAACATCAAAGCAGTGACCCGATCCTGCAGGTTCATGCTCTACAACATTCGCAGAGTACGACCCTACCTTACGGCACAGATCCTAATCCAGGCACAGGTCCTAATCCAGGCACTTGTCATCTCCCGTCTGGATTACTGCAACTTGCTGTTGGCTGGGCTCCCTGCCTGTGCCATTAAACCCCTACAACGTATCTACAACGCTGCAGCCCGTCTGGTGTTCAACGTTCCCAAGTTCTCTCATGTCACCCCGCTCCTCCGCACACTCCACTGGCTTCCAGTTGAAGCTTGCATCTACTACAAAACCATGGTGCTTGCCTACGGCGCTGTCAGGGGAACGGCACCTCCTTACCTTCAGGCTCTGATCAGACCCTACACCCAAACGAGAGCACTACGTTCATCCACCTCTGGCCTGCTAGCCCCCCTACCTCTACGGAAGCACAGTTCCCGCTCAGCCCAGTCAAAACTATTCGCTGCTCTGGCACCCCAATGGTGGAACAAGCTCCCCCATGACGCCAGGACAGCGGAGTCACTGACCACCTTCCGGAGACACTTGAAACCCTACCTCTTTAAGGAATACCTGGAATTAAAAAATAATAAATAAATAATAAATAATAAAATAGGGGGGTTGTCCCACTGGCTATCATAAGTTGAATGCATCAATTTGTAAGTCGCTCTGAATAAGAGCGTCTGCTAAATGACGTAAATGTAAATGTAAATGTAAAACTGTAACTATATGTAGGCCACTCAGAAACATTCAATGTCGTCTTGGTAAGCAACTCGAGTGTATATTTGGCCTTGTGTTTTAGGTTATTGTCCTGCTGAAAGATGAATTTGTCTCCAAGAGTCTGTTGGAAAGCAGACTGAATCAGGTTTTCGTCTAGGATTTTGCCTGAGCTTAGCTCTATTCTGTTTAATTTATCCTGAAAAAAATATACCATCCAAAATGTCATTAATAACTTCACCATGCTCAAAGGGATATTCAATGTCTGCTTCATTTTTTTACCAATCTACCAATAGGTGCCCTTCTTTGCGAGACGTTGGAAAACCTTTCTGGTCAAACCTGTGTTTGAAATTCACTGCTCGACCGAGGGACCTTAAAGACAATTGTATGTGTGAGGTACAGAGATGAGGTAGTCATTTAAAAATCATGTTAAACACTGTTATCGCACACGGAGTGAGTCCATGAAACTTATTATGTGACTTGTTAAGCAAATGTGTAGTCTTATTTAGGCTTGCCATAACAAAGGGGTTGAATACTTTTCAGCTGTTTTTACTTAATTTGTAAAAATGTCTAACCACATAATTCCACTTTCACATTATGGGGTATTGTGTGCAGGCCAGTGACACAAAATCTCAATTTAATCAATTTTAAATTCAGGCTGTTACACAATTGTTTTGGGAAAAAGTCAAGGGGTGTGAATACTTTCTGAAGGCACTGTATGTCAACATAGTCCAAAGCAGTTTTCAAAATGTTGAAAGTTCAATGGGGAACATGAATGTGTCCAATCTACTGAAGTTCCACAGTATTAGTTACAAAGCAGCATTCAGTGAGCAGTGCCATGTCTCTATTACCATTTCCCTCTGTCTGTCTGGAGATTTTTGCACAGCCAGTCAATCAGACTTTCTCACTGTGGTGGACTTTCGGTGGAGGGACCAAACTGAATGTTGGCAGTAAGTATTCAATTCTAGAGCTTGACATCTGATATCAAAATCCCAATTCATTTTCTTAACAGTATTAATATCAAACAAGGTTATACAGTGTGTATTAATTTGGAACAGGGTGGTGTAGAAAAATGTAGCTTTACAAAGAGCGAAAGCAGTGTCTCTATAGTGTCAGAGATTTTTGTACGGCCGCTAAATGAGATTGTATAACTGGGGTACACTTTTGGTGGAGGCACTAGACTGGATGTTGGAAGTAAGTTTACCTACCTCTAATTACTAATTACAATTTTTATGTATATATCTATACAGTGGGGGAAAAAAGTATTTAGTCAGCCACCAATTGTGCAAGTTCTCCCACTTAAAAAGATGAGAGAGGCCTGTAATTTTCATCATAGGGACACATGAATTTATTTGCAAATTATGGTCGAAAATAAGTATTTGGTCAATAACAAAAGTTTCTCAATACTTTGTTATATACCCTTTGTTGGCAATGACACAGGTCAAACGTTTTCTGAAAGTCTTCACAAGGTTTTCACACACTGTTGCTGGTATTTTGGCCCATTCCTCCATGCAGATCTCCTCTAGAGCAGTGATGTTTTAGGGCTGTCGCTGGGCAACACGGACTTTCAACTCCCTCCAAAGATTTTCTATGGGGTTGAGATCAAGAGACTGGCTAGGCCACTCCAGGACCTTGAAATGTTTCTTACGAAGCCACTCCTTCGTTGCCCGGGCGGTGTGTTCGGGATCATTGTGATGCTGAAAGACCCAGCCACGTTTCATCTTCAATGCCCTTGCTGATGGAAGGAGGTTTTCACTCAAAATCTCACGATACATGGCCCCATTCATTCTTTCCTTTACACGGATCAGTCGTCCTGGTCCCTTTGCAGAAAAACAGCCCCAAAGCATGATGTTTCCACCCCCATGCTTCACAGTAGGTATGGTGTTCTTTGGATGCAACTCAGCATTCTTTGTCCTCCAAACACGACAAGTAGAGTTTTTACCAAAAAGTTATATTTTGGTTTCTTCTGACCATATGACATTCTCCCAATCCTCTTCTGGATCATCCAAATGCACTCTAGCAAACTTCAGACGGGCCTGGACATGTACTGGCTTAAGCAGGGGGACACGTCTGGCACTGCAGGATTTGAGTCCCTGGCGGCGTAGTGTGTTACTGATGGTAGGCTTTGTTACTTTGGTCCCAGCTCTCTGCAGGTCATTCACTAGGTCCCCCCGTGTGGTTCTGGGATTTTTGCTCACCGTTCTTGTGATCATTTTGACCCCACAGGGTGAGATCTTGCGTGGAGCCCCAGATCGAGGGAGTTTATCAGTGGTCAGGTATGTCTTCCATTTCCTAATAATTGCTCCCACAGTTGATTTCTTCAAACCAAGCTGCTTACCTATTGCACATTCAGTCTTCCCAGCCTGGTGTAGGTCTACAATTTTGTTTCTGGTGTCCTTTGACAGCTCTTTGGTCTTGGCCATAGTGGAGTTTGTGGTGTGACTGTTTGAGGTTGTGGACAGGTGTCTTTTATACTAATAACAAGTTCAAACAGGTGCCATTAATACAGGTAACGAGTAAACCAGTCAAACGTTTGAACACACCTACTCATTCAAGGGTTTTTCTGTATTTTTACTATTTCTTATATTGTAGAATAATAGTGAAGACATCAAAACTATGAAATAACACATATGGAATCGTGTAGTAACCAAAAAAGTGTTAAATATATTTTATATTTGAGATTCTTCAAATAGCCACCCTTTGCCTTGATGACAGCTTTGCACACTCTTGGCATTCTCTCAACCAGATTAATGAGGTAGTCACCTGGAATGCATTTCAGTTAACAGGTGTGCCTTCTTAAAAGTGAATTTGTGGAATCCTTTCCTTCTTAATGCGTTTGAGCCAATCAGTTGTGTTGTGACAAGGTAGGGGGTTATACAGAAGATATCCCTATTTGGTAAAAGACCAAGTCCATATTATGGCAAGAACAGCTCAAATAAGCAAAGAGAAACGACAGTCCATCATTTCTTTAAGACATGAAGGTCAGTCAATATGGAACATTTCAAGAACTTTCAAAGTTTCTTCAAGTGCAGTTGCAAAAACTATCAAGCGCTATGATGAAACTGGCTCTCATGAGGACGGCAACAGGAATGGAAGACCCAGAGTTACCTCTGCTGCAGAGTTCATTAGAGTTACCAGCCTCAGAAATTGCAGCCCAAATAAATGCTTCACAGAGTTCATGTCACAGACACATCTCAACATCACCTGTTCAGAGGGGACTTTGTAAATCAGGCCTTCATGGTCGAATTGCTGCAAAGAAACCACTACTAAAGGACACGAATAAGAAGAAGAGACCTGCTTGGGCCAAGAAACACGAGCAATGGAAATTTTTGGTTCCAACAGCCGTGTTTTTGTGAGACACGGTGTTGGTGAACGGATGATCTCCGCATGTGTAGTTCCAACCGTAAAGCATGGAGGAGGAGGTGTTATGGTGTGGGGGTGCTTTGCTGGTGACACTGTCTGTGATTTATTTAGAATCCAATGTATACATATCTTTAAAAAATATATTTCCCTTTATTATTTTCTGCTAACACTACCACCCCTCCCCTAAAATGAGTAATACTAATGAACAACAACACTTAGGCTTCTACTTCCAGCTTATACATACTATATACATTTTACGGACACAATCTATTTTACAGTAGTTATATTTTGTTTGTTTTTAGTCCTGTCCTTCCTCTACCCTCAACCTATCCCCTATTTCTGATGTCAGTATGAAAAATGTCTGCACTCACTAACTGTAAGTCGCTCTGGATAAGAGCATCTGCTAAATTACTAAAATGTAAAATGTAAATGTCCATCCAGTTTGACGGCTATTTGCCATATATTTTTAACTGTGCTGTTTCACAAAAGTTTTGAACCTACAGTTGAAGTGGGAAGTTTACATACACTTAGTTTGGAGTCATTAAAACTTGTTTTTCAACCACTCCACAAATTTCTTGTTAACAAACTATAGTTTTGGCAAGTCGGTTAGAACATCTACTTTGTGCATGACACAAGTAATTTTTCCAACAATTGTTTACAGACAGATTATTTCACTTATAATTCACTGTATCACAATTCCAGTGGGTCAGAAGTTTACATACACTTAGTTGACGGTGCCTTTAAACAGCTTGGAAAATTCCAGAAAATTATGTCATGGCTTTAGAAGCTTCTGATAGGCTAATTGACATTATTTGAGTCAATTGGAGGTGTACCTGTGGATGTATTTCAAGGCCTACCTTCAAACTCAGTGCCTCTTTTCTTGACATCATGGGAAAATGAAATGAAATCAACCAAGACCTCAGGAAAAAAATGGTAGACCTCCACAAGTCTGGTTCATCCTTGGGAGCAATTTCCAAACGACTGAAGGTACCACATTCATCTGTACAAACAATAGTACGCAAGTATAAACACCATGGGACCACGCAGCCGTCATACCGCTCAGGAAGGAGACTGTCTCCTAGAGATGAACGTACTTCGGTGCGAAAAGTGCAAATCAATCCCAGAAAAACAGCAAAGGACCTTGTGAAGATGCTGGAGGAAACAGGTACAAAAGTATCTATATCCAAAGTAAAACAAGTCCTATATCAACATAACCTGAAAGCCTGCTCAGCAAGGAAGAAGCCACTGCTCCAAAACAGACATAAAAAAGACTGATTACGGTTTGCAACTGCACATGGGGTCAAAGATCGTACTTTTTGGAGAAATGTCCTCTGGCCTGATTAAACAAAAATAGAACTGTTTGGCCATTGTAGTATCGAGTCAATGCTGGCAATTATTGCTGATAAACAAAGGAGTCCGCTCATACTGAACCTTGATCATAAGTTTATTCATATCACAAGCTTTCAGCATGAGTTACAGGTGTCAAGATCACCCGGAGAACGGCGTCCCAGATTGCAATGGCCGCTCTAACCTCTTCGTCGTTTTTACCCAGTATATATAATCTTCCCAAGATATGGGTGGCTCCCTCTACTGTCCAATCCCCTGTCTACAACACACATACTTCTCTGTCCTATCCTGGGTGTCACACTAAAACCGGCTCTCTTTCTGCTAAAGAAACATCTGTTCAGGTTCCACTTAAAAACATTAACATAGTCATAACCTTCATATACGACACCATAATGACCATCGTTATGTTTGGAGGAAAAAGGTGGAGCGCTTGCAAGCCGAAGAACACCATCCCAACCGTGAAGCACGGGGGTGGCAGCATCATGCTGTGGGGGTGCTTTGCTGCAGGAGGGACTGGTGCACTTCACAAAATAGATGGCATCATGAGGAAGGAAAATGATGTGGCTATATTGAAGCAACATCTCTAGACATCAGTCAGGAAGTTAAAGCTTGGTCGCAAATGGGTCTTCCAAATAGACAATGACCCCAAGTATACTTCCAAAGTTGTGGCAAAATGGCTTAAGGACAACAAAGTCAAGGTATTGGAATGGCCATCACAAAGCCCTGACCTCAATCCTATAGAAAATGTGTAGGCAGAACTGAAAAAGTGTGTGTGAGCAAGGAGGCCTACAAACCTGACTCAGTTACACCAGCTCTGTGGGAAGCTTGTGGAAGGCTACCCGAAACGTTTGACCCAAGTTAAACAATTTATAGGCAATGCTACCAAATATTAATTGAGTGTATGTAAACTTCTGACCCACTGGGAATGTGATGAAAGAAATAAAAGCTGAAATAAATCATTCTCTCTACTATTATTCTGACATTTCACATTCTTAAAATAAACTAACTGACCTAAGACAGGCAATTTTCAGCTTGGTTATGTTTTTGGTAAGAGTAATTATCTTCATAAGAGTCACCATTTGTGTGAAAACCGGAATATACCTTTTGGTTAGACCTCGAATTTTAAGCTATTCTTTTTTTGTTAAGAGACCCTGTCTCATAAATCATATTTCTGTTCATTTTATTTTAATCTATTTTAAATGTATACAATTGTTTTAAGATGGTTATATTCAACTTAAATGTACTCCGTCAGCATTCAGCTCCAAAGTATTGCTGAATTTTTGCTTTCTATTCACCATTTGCTATTTTGCTATCTTATCTGATCCTATTTGCTATTTTCTTTGCTGTTTGCTATCTATTGAAAAGTCTTCCTATCTTGCGAAGTCCGGCTGTTCTACTGTTCATATGAATATATGTTTATTTTCAATTTGTGATAGAATGTCTTGTAAATTACACATAACTATATTCATTTTCTTTTGATAAATTAACACTTTTAAATGTTTTAGTGTGCCTTTTAAATTAAATGTATATTATTGTTAGATGTTTAACGTCAACTGGAATTTTACTTCCTCAGCATAGGCATATTTTCAACAGATTTTAACTGAATTCATAATTTAAGAATTGTTCATACATTCTGTGGAATAATAATAACTAATAATGAAATGCAGTTTGATTCCTAGGATTTTATTCCATTACAATAAGGGAGAAGCATGCTAAAATATTTGACATTTTAAATAGTTACATTTTGATTTTTCATGTAGTTAAAATATGCTTCAGTAGCTACTCAAAGTGAAGTGAAAGAGAGACAGAAAGACTGTTTGAGGAACAGAAACCTACAGATGGAAAAAAAAAAACGTAATTTACAGCTAAGATGTAAAACTGATGCATCATTATTGTCGTATCAGTCTGGTGATTGATTGATAGCTCGCCTCTCCCTAACATCCCACCTGTCTTTTAGGTGACGTTAGTCCCACCTTGACAGTCCTGCCCCCCTCCAGCGTTGAGCTGCAGCAGAGCAAGGCCACTCTCATGTGCCTGGCCAACAAGGGCTTCCCCTCAGACTGGAAGCTGAGCTGGAAGGTGGACGGTAGCAGCAGCAACACCTGGGAGGTGACTGGGAGCCCCGGGGTCCTGGAGAAGGAAGGCCACTACAGCTGGAGCAGCACCCTGACCCTTCCTGTCGACCAGTGGAGGAAGGTGGGCTCTGTGAACTGTGAGGCCACCCAGGGCTCCCAGTCTCCACTCTCTGAGACACTGAGGAGAGACCAGTGTTCTGATTAATGAAGAGAGGTCCTGTGTGGGAATCCTTCCTCCAGCTGGAGCTTTTAGCATAGTGGAACAAACAACAGAATATACTCTATGTCTGATTCTGATGTCAAATAGATCTGCTTGGCTTTCATGTCACGTGTTCTGCACCTTATTGCTGTAATGCTGTTGGTTCTGACATGTTGAGATAATAAAGACGTTCAGTCTTTTAAATTGTTTGCCTGGATATCATTATTTAATTGAGTTTTACCATTAGACATTGAAATCTTTATGATTTGTTTAGTCTTCATAAGGAATGGAATGCTCTGCCATGGAAAATAATGTTACTGATACATTTCAGTCAAAGAACCTATCTCAATGAATGTTTGGCTGATTGGACCAAATGTTTTACCAGTCAAAAGGATATCTACAGTGAAACTAATACTGAAGCCATGTGCCTTAAACTCAATAGTCTTTATGATGTTGCCAGAGCCATGTATTAGAGAGGACATTGAGGTTTCTGCATTATGATGCATTAATTAACATTACATGGGGGATATTTAAACAATGCTATGTAACTGAATATTACAGTTACATAGCATTGTTACTCGACTTAGTCTCGGGCCTAACAACACCCATGCCAATATTTCCTCCAAACACCGGCTTCTCTGGCATTATCACTTAATTAGAACAAAATAAAAGTTGGCCTAACTCTCTAAAACTATGGCTCTGGATGTTACATATACTGAAGCCATGTGCTCTAACCTCAATGGAACACACTGGGGATAGGTGAACATCTGACCATGGTACTGCTTTATTCTGGGAGCGTTGCAGTCACCCTGCCCATGCAAATCTGAATTTCAACCACACAACAGCTCATAATCTCCCAGACTCAAACCCTCTGGGACTGGGGCAGCTGTGGGTGTCTGACTAGGGCTGACTAGGGCTGGGGAACCAGACTTCACGCTAGACTTTGCATTATGTTCAAATCGGGGACTTCACTTTGTCTTTTTATGGCTTTGTATACAGTATGTAAACTACATTTATTTGTGACAGATATACTGTATCATAATGATATCAAAGTAGTACTTCTTGAATGGAATCGATATGAATGTATTGTCTCTTTCAAGGTTGGAGGGGTATAGAAGTTGAGTAGGGCATGAATAGTTGGGAAGTTGGGTTTGGACAGGGTCAACATTCATGCTGTTGTGTACTGAAATGGGTGCTTCTTACATTATCTTACAAAAATCTAAACCTATTCAGAATTTTGTTCAACATGTCCTTCTAAAGAAACCATTTTCTACAGCTCTGTATCCTTAATGGTCCTGGTGTGTTAACAAAGCTTGAACATTTTTGCTTAATATATTGAGAGATATATACAGTATCATAGTCCATAGACAAGTCTAACCAATTACATTATTGTATTGCATTTTCATATTTTGATAAATTGGTGTTTAGAATACTTTAGAATACGGGAGACTCTGTAGCTCTGCAGCTGTTGAGTCAGAGCAGTTCCTCTTTAGCTGAAGAAGGTTTTTGTACGACACTGTGTGAACGGATAGCTGGCACCCTGCTGACAGTAGTAATCTCCTGCATCTTCAGCCTGGACTCCACTGATGGTCAGAGTGTAATGAGTATAAGGACGACCAGATCCACTCCCAGTAAAACGACCTGGAATCCCAGACTGACGGGTTGTAGCATAATAAACCAGGAGTTTAGGAGCTTCTCCAGGTTTCTGCAGGTACCAGTGGAGATAATTACCAGTACTTGAACTGGCTGTACAGCTGATAGAGACAGTCTCTCCTGGGCTAACAGACTGAGATGCAGGAGACTGAGTCAGAATTATATCTGCTGATGATTCTGAAAAAGAAAACAAAAGTGAAGAAAGGCTGATTAGGAAGGTTATCACAACAACAAGCATATCGTAAAGCATAGCCTATCATGCAAAATGTAAAAAATAAAATGTGTCATGTTAAATTAATGAATGAAGCATAACTCTGAAGCCAAACTCTTAATGAATCAAAGTTGGTCAAAGTGTCTCTCACCCTGAACAAGGAGCCCCAGTGTCCCCAGCAGTAGAATTAGTGACATCATCATTGTGTCTGTGGCTCTGAAAGGAGTGATCAACACTGGCTTTTTAAAAGTATGTGGAGAAATGAGGCAGGACAGCTATGCAAATATCTCATATTTTACGCGAATGTGTGTGCCCACACACACACACACACACAGAGAGAGAGAGATGAAATAAGTCAACAGTTTCCAAAAGTATGCCTAATGTATATCAAATCTGAGAACACTAAAATCATAGGCATTATTTCTTAAATGGGGCCTGGTGGACTGTAGTGGACCTCTGTCTCCCTCCTCTGACCACAGTGTGTAACGGCAGTCTGTGTGATATGTAGAGCGTGTTTTATTTTACATTTTTCTTAAATCACTTTGGTGTAATTTTCACAAGCATGTGGTACATTTTCACAACTCTAAGCACAAACATCTAAACAGATCATCAAAATGGCTCATGTTTCAAAACTCTAAGCACATTTTTTATTGACTGAGTACAACAAACAAATTCAGTCACTTGTTCACTGCACCAAATCACTCTTTCAAATCAGATGCATATTCAATATACACTGAACAAAAATATAAATGTAACAGGCAACAATTTCAAAGATTTTAATGAGTTACAGTTCATATAAGGAACTCAGTCAATTGAAATAAATTCCTTTGGCCCTAATATATGGATTTCACATGACTGGGAATACAGATATGCATCTGTTGGTCACAGATTTCAACAACAACAAAAAGTAGGGGCGTGGATCAGAAAACCAGTCAGTATCTGGCTTGACCACCATTTGCTTCATGCAGCGCAACACATATCCTTCGCATAGAGTTGATCAGACTGTTGATTGTGGCCTGTGGAATGTTGTCCCACTCCTCTTCAATGGCTGTGCGAAGTTGATGGATATTGGCGGGAACTGGAACACGCTGTCGTACACGTCGATCCAGAGCATCTCAAACTTGCTCAATGGGTTACATGTCTTGTGAGAATGCAGGCCATGGAAGAACTGGGACATTTTCAGCTTCCAGGAATTGTGTCCAGATCCTTACGACATGGGGCCGTGCATTATCATGCTGAAACATGAGGTGATGGCGGCAGATAAATGGCACGACAATGGGCCTCAGGATCTCCTCACAGTATCTCTGTGCATTCAAATTGCAATCAATAAAATGCAATTGCTACTACCAAATTCTCTAAAACGACGGTGGAGGCGGATTATGGTAGAGAAACTAATTACATTCACTGGCAACAGCTCTGGTGGACATTCCTGTAGTCAGCATGCCAATTGCAGGCTCTGTCAAAACTTTATACATCTGTGGCACAAAACTGCACATTTTAAAGTGACCTTTTATTGTCCCCAGCACAAGGTGCACCTGTCAGGTGGATGGATTATCTTGGAAAATGAGAAATGCTCACTAACAGGGATGTAAACAAATGTGTACACAAAATTTGAAATTTGAGACTACAGTATCATGTAGATCTCATGGACTGTCAGTCCTTGCATCTAGACTTGGGACTAATGATAAGTGGCAGAGGGAGGAGGGAGGACTGACAGAGTCATACCTCATATCAGAGGTGTTGAGAGCTTCTCATTCACATAGAAATATAGCCTATAGTGTTGAATACATGGTTTACAGTATCAATATATGCTGAGGATTTATACTTTTTTCTCATTTCAACCTAAAGGCATGGTCCTTTGGGTGGGGATCAAGTTGTTTGTCCTTGTACCAAATGTTTTGTTACAACGGACATTTCACAAGTTCTACCTCCAAACAATTTAGTTTGGCAGTGTAGGCAAGTTGGATCACTTCTTGTTGCGGCTCAGATTGAAACTGACATGGTTGAGCCCATGTTGGGCATCAGTGGTGCAAGGTTTGAAATGCATGCTTTTATTTATCTATTTAGGCACAAATGTTGTTGCATACATCTAGTGTGTTTCTCTATTGTGCTCACAGCTCAAATGAGTCAACTTCACATGTATGATAAAATAGTCCAACATTTTATGGGAAGTTGGGGGTCCTCTGAACCAAAGCAGAAGTAGCCTACATGTACTGTAAGAGAAACCATATATCAATGTATAAATGAAAACAAAATCAAATGATTTATGCATAGGAAAGCTGATAGAAGCAATTAAGGATTTGACCAATGGAGGTCCAGCTTGAAGGGAGATAGATCACCGAAGGAACTAATCTAGGCTACCCTATGGAATCCAGGCTACCCTATGGATACATAGAAAGTACAGGCTATACAGACCCAGAGTCAGCAACCAAAAATGTGGGTTTTGTTGAGGACGAAATAGCAGGGGTGATAGGACTTGTTACGGTTAGGGGGTTTGGTTATGGGTAGGGTGAGAGTTATGGGTTGGCATGCCAGTCACATCCCTTTAGTCGCACCTGCAGGGGACGAATTCAGACACATCAGAGCTTTGTGGCCTGCTTCCCACTGTCGCCCCTCTCAGACGACCTCTTGGGCTGCTCCCAGTTCTTCCGCGAGGCGAAGGGGTCCAGGCAGCTGTTAACAAATGTGAAGCTCCGGACGACACATGCTGCCGTGCTCCTGTGGCGCAGCAGCACTGTCGACGCCTCTAGCTGGGAAGGCCGCAGCACCACACCGGCAACGTCCACCATGTTGATGATGTGCACAGGGACCCAGAGGATAAAGAAGGTGACCACCACATTGGTAACCAGCCGCGTCAACTTTGCGCTGCTGAACAGCGCCGTCTGGTTCACTCAGCGGTGGAGGCACAAATAGGACGTGACCAGCTCAGAGAACGGGACCACAAACCCCAGAAGGGTCTCCAAGATGAGGACCGCTACTCTTTCAGCATCGGAGCCCATGAGTCTCCGGCACTTGAGCTCGCCATCACCCACATAGCAAGTAGTCAGGGCGCAGGCGAGCCCCCACAAGGCCAGGAGCAACACCACCTTCCCCTTGCGCACCAGCCGGTTCCAAATCTGCGGGTATAGCACCTGGAGGTAGC